TCTATTTCTAAAAGTTTTAGACATTTTTTAGTGTTTGATTCGATCTTTTGGCGCCAAGTAACATATTTTCCAGTTACTTTAACAGAAGCAGATTACCATTGTTGTAAAGTTTCAAACTTTAATTAAAACAATGAAGATTGGATGTATCTGCCAAAAGGGTTTGAAAAGTTCAAATTTTAAATATGGTTTTGTTTCTGGTGTCTCATGATTTTTTTATTTGGGGGTTTTGTGAGAGCTTTTTGTGATGCTTAATGCTGTAGGGTTTAATCAGAACTAGTTAATTATTGTGTTGTTAGAAAAGTAAAGATTTGATTAATCCTGAAAGAAAAAGGGGAACTTGGTATGTATCTACCAAAAGGGTTTGAAAAGTTCACATTTTTTAATGCCATTCTGATTTTGGTGTTTTGTGGTTTATTTTAGTTGGGTTTTAATGCAAGATTTTTGTGGTGTTTGATGGTGTAGGGTTTCAATGAAGGCCATAGAGAGGGAAAAGCTTTTGAAAGCTGGGGAAGTAAGCATGTCGGAGAAGCTTTCTTCCCATGGAGGTGAAGTTGTACTGGAAGTTCGAAGCGAGGAGAGCAATGCATCAAAAGGATCTCCCTCAAAAGGCTCAGAATATTCAGCTCCCAGGCAAAGCAAAATTGGCTCGCCCGCCAAAGCATCCGCTGAGTCCAGCAGTGGGTTCTCTAAGTCAGTCCCAGTGAGCCATGCTTCACCTGAATTTTCGAGAGCCAGTCCTGGCAAGCCTCCCAAGATTCCGACCCGCAATGAGAGTCTTGCTAGGAGAAAGTCACTAAATAGGTCAATGTACTCGAAACCAAAGTCAAGATTTGGTGAACCATCACTAGGCATTGATCACAATATGTTTGAAGAAGATCAAGTTGGTGCAAATTCCCCTTATAGGGTTTCATTCAATAGGGCTTCCCCAATTGATAAATCAGGTATTAGGAGTGTTTCAATCGCAGGGAGTGGGAGGATACCGCCTTCTCCAGGCAGGATTAAAGAGCAGGAGGATGAAGAGATTTACAAGAAGGTTAAATTGAGTAGAGATAATAATAGGAAAGTGAAAATGAAAACTGTGGTCTTGCTTGAGTGGGTTGCTTTTCTGGTACTTCTGGCTTGTTTAGTGTCTAGCTTGACTATCGAGAAATTGGAGAATTATATGCTTTGGGGCCTGGAAATATGGAAATGGTGTGTTCTTGTGATGGTGATTTTCTGTGGAATGTTGGTTACGAATTGGTTTATGCATTTCATAGTGTTTGTGATCGAGAGGAATTTTTTGCTGAGGAAAAAGGTTTTGTATTTTGTTCATGGCATGAAAAAGAGCGTTCAGGTTTCGATTTGGTTGGCTCTGGTTCTTCTCACATGGCTACTGGTGTTCAATCGTGGGGTCGAGCGATCAGAGACTTCCACCAAGATTTTGAATTATGTCACATGGACTCTTGTTTCCGTTCTTGTTGGGGCTATTTTGTGGTTGTTAAAAACTTTGTTCCTTAAGATTTTAGCATCTACTTTCCATGTCAATACCTTTTTCGATAGAATCCAAGAATCAATATTCCATCAGTACGTTCTGCAGACACTTTCAGGGCCGGCACTTATAGAGGAGGCTGAGAGGGTTGGGAAATGTCCGAGCACTGGGCAACTGAGTTTCAGGACAACAAAGAAGGCTAAGGCTGGGAAGGAGAAGGGGGTGATTGATATGGCAAAGCTTCAGAAGATGAAGCAAGAGAAGGTTTCAGCTTGGACCATGAAGGTATTGGTGGATGCAGTTTCGAGTTCAGGGCTGTCCACCATCTCCCATACATTGGATGAGATGGAAGGGGAAGGAGCTGAACAGATGGATACGGAGATTACTAATGAGATGCAAGCAACTGCCGCTGCCTATCACATTTTTTTGAACGTCGCACCACAGGGTTCCACGTGAGAAAACCAACCTTATTGTTTAGTTGTTATTTGTGATAGTCTGTGCCCTTTTCATGTGTTTTCTTACATATCTTACATCTGAGTAGATACATTGAGGAGGAGGACCTCATGAGGTTCATGATTAAGGAAGAGGTGGATTATGTGTTTCCGCTGTTTGATGGAGCAGAGACTAGACGTATTGACAGAAAATCTCTAACAGATTGGGTGGTAAGACCTTTTATTTTCATCTGTCTGGACTTCCACATTTAATTGTAATTATCGATTCTGTAGTCATGGAGTTTTATGTCTTGATTATACATATACATGCCTTATTATGAAATCATGCACATCTTACAATCTAAAACATATAGCGGGGGATGGAGAAAGGGAATGTGGTAACTCGAGTCTGTTTCTGTTTACATTGTTTCCCTTCATCATTACTCATCAGCGTCTGCACTTGGAGTCAATTTTGTTTAATGTTGAACCGCAAGGATAGCTGAGAAAACAGCAGCATTCCTCAGTCATGTACATAATTGAGCTGTTGGTGGTCTGCCTTACAAAATTCGTTCGGATAAGGAGGTGAAACATTTTTTGCCTTTCGGGTTTTGCAGGTGAAGGTCTACAATGGTCGCAAGGCATTGGCTCATTCTTTAAACGACACCAAAACAGCTGTAAGGCAGTTGAACAAACTTGTGACTGGCATCCTGGTTGTTATTACCATTGTAGTGTGGCTTCTATTGATGGAAATTGCGACGACAAAAGTACTTGTCCTCCTCTCGTCACAGCTCGTAGTTGCAGCTTTTATGTTTGGAAACACTTGCAAGAATATATTTGAAGCTATAATTTTTGTGTTTGTAATGCATCCATTCGATGTTGGTGACCGCTGTGTTGTTGATGGTGTTCCGGTAACTTTCACAACTCTTGTATCATTACATTCGTTTTCCTTAATCAAATTTCTAATACCTGGAAACCTGACAGTTGATGGTTGAGGAGATGAACATCTTAAATACAGTCTTCTTGAAACTCAATATGGAGAAGGTATACTATCCGAATTCAGTTTTGTCCACGAAACCCATCAGCAATTACTTCAGAAGTCCAGACATGGGTGACGTTGTCGAATTCCAAATTGCTTTTTCGACAACAGTGGAGAGGATAGGCCTGCTGAAAGAGAAAATAAAGGAGTGAGTTAATCAAATCTTTTACTTGTTTATGTACGGGCTAGCACGGGTCAAGAAACATATATGTGTTAAAATTCCTGTCAAATAAACTGATATGTTCCGCTACGAGATTAATCACAATTGTTATATTGTACAAACCGCGCATTTACACACGATTTCACTTGAGTAAAAAGTTTTAATTAACAGTCTAGCATCAATTTGTACTGCTTCTTTACGCTTACTCTTCTGTGATTTCATTTTGCTTGTTCAGGCATTTGGAGAGGAACTCGCAGCATTGGCATCCTTACCACAGAGTGGCAGTGATTGAAATCGAAAATCTCAACAAGTTAAAGATGGCCCTGTATGTCACTCACACGATGAACTTTCAAGAGTTTGGAGAAAAGAATAAGCGGAGAACTGAACTAGTCATCGAACTGAAGAAAATGTTGGAAGAGCTCCAAATCAAGTACAACCTGCCGCCCCAAGAAGTTCATCTCACTCAAACTAAATCAGACGCAGCTTTTGCCAACAAATGAGTTGTTGCGTGGTAAAAGGAAGAACTTTGATGATTTTGTTCTTTTTTCCGGTAGGATTTTTTACGAAGTACAGTTAGTTTCAGTAGCTGGTTGAGATTTCTGCACTTTTTTTGGTGGTAACTGTTAACTTAAGAATTCTTCATTTGAACAGGGTACTAAATTTATCTGGATTAATAACCAAAATATTTCTTCTGGTATGCCTTCAAATTTTGAAAGCTCAAATCATGTAAGGTGATGCTTATGCCTGTTTTCAGACGGGAAATTTCCGCACTCTTTTCTCTTCGTGCATTTCGGCCTTTGAACTGAATAAATAAAAAGACAATCATGAACTAAAAGTGAATTGGGTGCTAGAACGAGAAAATGTGTATGCGAAAATTGTCTCCCTTCAAAAGTCAGTACCCAAGAGGAAAATCTTCGGTCAGACTGCCTAACTACGTGGATGATCCAAATTCCATACCATACGTGATGTGCCAAGTGCCATGTATGCTTTCTCAAATGCAATCCTGAATTCAAGTTTCAAAAGGAATCAGTTTCTAGCAGATCAAATCTATGGGATAACCTTATCCCCCATTCCCAGGCAGAGAATTTGCCACATAGGATATCTCAAAAGAGACACATCAGCTTTTCAAATCTCTAATTTCCACCCACCATTTCATTTGCCTCCATTTTCTCATCCAATATCTAAAGCTACCTATCCCAACTCTCCAAAAATAACACCACCTACATTTTGTACCAAGCAAAATCTAGACCCAAGAAATGGCTTCTGCTTCAATGGCCATGCCACTAATGTCTGCCACCCAAAACACAGAAGCACTTTTCAGATCAATCCCATTGAAGCCATCAAAGAAAGCTGCTTTTGTGAACCCAAAGCCCAAGGGCACGTTCAAGGTGGAGGCCTCTTTGAAAGAAAAGGCGGCGACAGGCCTAGCAGCGGCGGCATTGACAGCCTCCATGGTGATTCCTGAGGTGGCTGAGGCCGCAGGGTCTTCCGGGCTTACGCCGTCCTTGAACAACTTCTTGCTCAGCATTGCTGCTGGTGGAGTTGTGCTTGTAGCTATCATTGGTGCTGTTGTTGGGGTTTCCAACTTTGACCCAGTTAAGAGAGCCTAAGAAATTAAAGACTGAAACTTTTTCATGAATTAATTTTTATGTCTATTTCCTGTTATTCATAAACTGTTCTTGGTTAATTCTGCGTTCTGTGCAACTCCGGATGATTATATGAAATATGTTTTTTCTTTTTCTTCAAGTGAATTGGTTTTTTATTGTTCATAATAATTATCATGGGTAAAACGCAAAAATAAGAACACAAAACAAACCGCAAAAATAGAACGGCTTATTGTTTGTTTAGTATCATTCCGTTTGTGTTTTCAATTCATATTTCCTTAGCTTCAAACACCAATAAATCTTAGGATGGAAAGGAGGAATGCCTCATTTTTCTTCGTTCATTGAAAGATAAAAAAGATAATTGAAGCAATAGTCCCTCAACTTTGACTTAATTGCAACTTTGGTCGTAAACTAAAAATTTGTGAGTATTGGATCCCTGAACTTGTAATAATGTGGAGCTATGATCCTTTTTGCTAACTCTATTAGAACTTTCATCCATCTTTGCCCCTTTAAACCTTTTATTTTAGATGAAAGTTCTAATAAAGTTAGCAAAAATGATTGTTGCTCCATATTATAACAAATTCAGAAACCAATACAGATTTTTAGTTTACGGACTAAAGCTCCAATTAAGCCAAAATTCAAGGACCGATTTTCTCAAAATAAAAACAAGCTTAAGGAAAGTCTCACTTTTGAAACCCTATGAACCCAATGAAGCTAACATAATAATCTAGTGTGAAACCAAATGCTGCAAACAATTGTTGTCTTTTTTTTTCCCCTGAAGAAATCAGTAACTGTAAAAACTCCCATTCTTCTTCACTTCTTTTTTGGCTGTACAGCAATTCACCCAACCAGTTTCTTGAGACTTCAGTAAAGCCACCCCATGCCCATGGACAAACCTTGCATCTTCCTCAGTGTAGACATGAGTTTCATTCAGCAACCTAAAAAATATGAAATGTTACACAGAAATTAATTGGATTCGAGCATTTTCGCACACCTTAGTGGGAAAAAAAAAAAAAAAAAGAGCCAGGACTGCATGATGACAAATTTGAAGTGATCTTACGATAAAGAAACAGTTTTGTTCATGGTTGCAGAGGACATGAACTGAGCACCATTCAAGTAGTTTAGCTCCCCATCAATTCTTTCCTCTATCCTCCTGTCCATTTTCTCAGCGTTGATAGAAAACGGCTCGTCCGAGGCCTAATTAGAACATGGAACAAATTAATTAACTGATTCTAATGCAATCCTATCAAATTAATTAAGCTAAGAGTGTATACTTAACATACCATAACCCATCCCCATGTATCTGCAAAAGATGGTATGTGAGCTGCATATGGCACCACATCTGCACAAACATGTAAAATGAAGTCACAAACAAGAAATGAATTAGACTAAACAACATGATGACGAAATCAATATCAATATCGGGAACTGTAATGTCGAAAAAGTATCGATAATATTAGCGTTTCAACAACGTATTTGCATTTTATAAAGTGCAGTTAACTGCACCAGAGAACAACCCTACATATACACATGTGGGAGACTTACACTTGAAGACCTGTTTAATTGTGTTGTATATAGAGGTGAAGACCTCTTTGTGGGTGAAAATGCCTGCTGGACCAGCCTGCAAGTAAATTTTGAATTTAAACACTATGTTTATTTACTGCAAAATGGTAAAAATTAAATGGGGCATATATTGCATATAGTTAACATTATTTACCTGGGTCACAAAAATGCCACCATGATTAAGCTTAGGTTTAAGAATTTTGTCATAGAAGGATTTTGTGTAGAGTTGATAGCAAGGTCCTCCTTCAACCGGGTCTGCTAAATCTCCGACTATGATATCAAATTTTTCGCAACTCTTCTCCAATTCCGCCCTTTAATAACAACGTTATGTATAAGAGGTTAGGATGACTGTTTCGGAGCGTTAATAACAATTCACAGGAGGAGCTAATAGTACACTTACTTGGCATCATTTATAATAAGGTTAAGCTTATGATGAGAAAATGCCTGCTGATTCACTGTCAAATGCCTGCGGCAGAAATCAACCACCTCCTGCAAAGGTGCCACAAATTATGTTATTTATTTTATGTCTTTCATTTGGCGCAAAATCAAGTGATGTTTTAAAATTCAAACAGTCGACCTCACTTAATAGGATAAGACTTAGTTGTTATTGCTAAAATCATCCCACAATCTTTACCTATATTATGATTAGTTACCTGATCGATGTCACACATGGTAACTTTGTCCAGTAATTTGTGCTTGAGTGCTTCCCTTGCAGCTGACCCTTCCCCACCTCCCATTATGAATACACGTTCAGGCCTGCACTTCTTAAAACTAATTAATTAGTTGAAGGTGGACGCAACTAATCATACAAAATAAATTAAAAACAAAATCATTCCAACAAATAAATTAAAAACTAAAATAAAAAGGCTTAATTGTAGCAATGGTCTCTCAACATCACCTCTAGCTTATTTTTAGTTCATAAACTCTTATATTAGTTTCTTTAGTCCTCAAACTTAGAAATGTGTTATACCATTGACCCTTTTCATTGGCGTCATCTATTTTTCCGTTAAATTCAGCAATATATTTGGAATTTCATCCCACATCACTAGTGAAAAATAAATTTAAAAATGAGAAAAACCCTAAAAAAAATCAGATTTTTTTTTTGTGTGTGTGTAAGAAAATTGAATACATAGGAATTATTTTTAGTAGTACAATATGTGATTTGTTAGTTGTTTAAGTCCATCAAAAGTTTGATTTCCTACAAACTTTGAAATTACATTGCCTAGTATTTACAAGTTGCTAAAGTCCAACCATTGTCATTATGTGTTTTTATAGTTCAAATTTCATTTTTTTCTTCTAAGTTTTAGATATTAATTTATGAATTTTCATTAGTTGTTTAGCTTATTCTATTGTTTTTTTGAAGTTTTAAGTTGAAGGTCCAATATACCCTAGATTTAACAGAAAAAAGACAACGTTAGTAAATAGGACCAACGGTGCAAAACATTTTAAGTTCGAGAATAAAAAAAACTAATATAAGAGTTCAGACTAAGGTCAAACTAAGGACAAAATTCAAGAACCATTACTACAATTAAGCAAAAAAAATCTAAAGATTCTAAAAACATGCTAAAGTACTAACCACCAATAAGAGCACCTATATAATTATATGGTGATCAACAAGTAATTAAATGAATGTTAATTTAGAGGAGGGCTGACTTTGGGTGACATAAGAGTGCAGGATGTATCAAGCATTCATGATATATAAATTCATCCACTTCTGCACTTTGCATCTTCCCATCAATCATCAGTACCTGTATATAATTTATACACACAAATTAAACAATATCAGCATCAACGTCCCGTTACTACTATTAAAAAGAAATAACATTTAAAAATGAGACTCGAACTTAAAATCTCTTCCGTAGCTTAAAAAGAGAAATATCACAAACCTTCCCGAAACGCTTTGTGTCCAATAAAGCTATCTCCTGGTACTCGCTAGTTCCTTTATGCAGCACACTGTAGAGACAAGACCAACACACAAACATAAGTGAAAGAAACCCTGAAGAAAGAAGAAAAATACAGTATGATCTGGAGACGCATATTACTAACAAGAAGTTATGAACAAGAAGTAGGCTATATCCAGTGTTCGAAACCCTCTGCAATTAAAAAAAGAATATGTGAAAATTTACAAACCCGTTGACATTGAGAGCAAATGACCATTTGAGATCGTCATCAATGGTTTCTTCATACCAGGAACTATCTGTATCTCTCTCTATGTGGTTGCTACCGTTTAGTAGTACCACTGCTTTAGGATCAAACTTCTCACTGAATTTTGAGAACCCATTTCCGTTTGCATGGTAAAACTCAACAGCCTCACCCATTTTTTTTGGGAAAATTAGAGAAGAAACCTAGACAGGAACTTTAGGGTTTGGATTAGGACTTAGAGGAAATGAGAGGGTTTGCAGTGCAGGTTGGCAGAAAGGAGAGGGGGTTAGCTGCTTTATATAGTGGCACAGGAAACTCGATAAACTATAAGGGCACCCAAATAAATAAATGAAAGATCAAATCTATGCACTGGTAATTGCTAAGTCAGAAGATTAATCTGTATATTATTAGGAGCACGGGCAATGATTTTGTCACTAGCTTGCAATATCACGAACTTTCTGTTGCACTTCCCACAAGCAAAATTAGTACGTAAGCCATGCCATCATAATAAAAATCTAAAGATACGCCGTGTAGAATATGAGTTTGAAATTCGTTCTTAACCACTGGGTCACCCCGTGGTAGATAAATGGGATTAGGAAGTTGGATTGAGCAAGTTTTAGGAAAAGTACAGTGACAAATTGCAAACGGTACGCCAAGCAATTTGCAGTCATTATAAAACGTGTTGGATACCAAAGTTAGTGTCCCTCCCATGAAACGAAACGCACGCGTAGGAGCACAGTTGGCATTGCCAAGTGTGCAAAAGTTACACCTGGCGTGATCTTACAGGACAAAAGCACATACGTGGGACCCACTTGGGATTGTGGCCTCCTTTGCAAAACTCTGTATTGCATATGCGTTTCTTTCCACACCTAAAATGTGTTGTGAGAATGCATGCGATGGGTGGGTGAGTTATCCATTTGCTTGTTTGTTTCTGGTTACTTGCCCACAAACATGATTTTGGCCTGCGAAGTGGGGTGTAAGCATGTCCCACTAAGCAAAAGCTTGGGATGGATTTCATGGAGTAGATGGGCCCCACATTCATGTTTGGGATGAGTAATTTTTCAATGTATTCAGAACACCATTATGTGATGATATTATTCTACTTAAAGTATAATAATATACTATAGAAGTACTAGATATCAACTGCACCTTGTCGTCCAATTATAACCCTAAATAACGTGATAAGATTCTGAATGCACTAAATTTATCTCTTAAAAATAGCCTGTGGGCCACACATTTGCTATTGTGGGAGAGAGGGTAAATAGATTGGAGGAGGGGAGGAGGCGTCCTCAATTGAGCGTGGGGTGAATCCACTAAGCTATTTTTGTGGAACACCCACTCCTTCACACTAGGTTTTCATTAGCTTCCTCATCATCTCATCCATCCCATGTTTCGTTATCTTCTTTACTTTGTTTATTATTGTGTGCATTATTTGATGTCTTTCAGCCACGTCTCAAATGACCATATCACCCATTTGCCCTCATACTATGCCAAAAGTCTAAAAACCTTTGTATTGCATGCACGAGTTCCCATTTGGAATTGAGATAACCAGTAGGTAACTTAAAACAATAACATTGCAAATGGGAACTACATTAGGAATTACCCTTAATCTCTTATTGTTAGAGACACTCAAGCTCTTATTGTTTTAAGTTACCCTATTAGGTTTTTGACCACCACTTAACTAGTGCCTAATGGACTTTAGAACATTTTTGAAAGTTGAAACCTCTTTAAGGGGGGACAAGGGTAGAAAAAATTATTGCATCAAACCCAGCACCATAAGGCGTTGTGGTCTTTGTTAATTGTAAGGGCAGCTCACAATCATATATAATTAGGGGTTACGGTTAAGTCAACTTTCACAGTCTAATAGGCACTTTACTAGTTCCCACGCCAAGTCAAACCTTTTTCTGCGGTTCAATTTATTTTCCACGGAAAAGGGTCAACTTAGAGTTTATATTTAGAGGATCCTAATAGATACTGATAAATATATAAATATACGGGAACAGATATGCGACATCCCTTTTTATAAGTTTTGACACGTTTTTATGAAATTCATTTTGTAATTTCAACAATCTGAACCTTAGAAGTTTATTATTAAGTCAAACAAATGGGAATATGATTGTTAAAATGCAAAAAACTTCTCCATCACTCGTTATATCGATTACACATAAACACTTACGTACTTTTCAAAATAAAAGATATAGAATTATGCAATCGGACTTTGCAGTGGGATTATTCTTAGTCTTCAATTGAAGAAACCTCTGAAGATAATGAGCAATGACACACCATTTGTATTAATCTATAAATCCACCAAAAGAAAATATTAAAATATACACACAATAAAAGAAATTTCTGTTGAAATAAAGTTGACCCAATAATTAATGGAGGCAGATTCTCTGCCGTCCCATTTTTCGTGCCCTCTTGTTTATGTGGTTACGGTTAAGTCACGTCAACACTTAATATTATTATTCTTTTTTGTCTTATTATCTCTATAAAAAAATATATAAAAAATGTTGACGTGGCTTAATCATGACCACACAAAACAAGAGGACACGAGAAGCGAGAGGGTAGAGAATCTGACTCCATAATTAATATCATGACTCGGCAGCATTTACATTTGAGTGATGAGGCGTGCTTGGTGCTCCCCACTATTACCAGAATATCAATCTCTCTCTCTGCAAAATGCAGAATAAGGAGTTGAGATCCTCGCCAAACCTCTATGTCCAAATTCGATGAATCCGAAAATTCAGACTGTGCAAGTGAGAGAGATCCGAACCGTTTAAGGCTTGGTTTTGTGTGAAGTGGACCAATATGATAGTTAATGAGAGCCGCATGATTTAAAATCAATGGTCCGAATTTCTTGATTCGTCAGCTCTTAACACAGAGATCCGAGAGGATCTCAATTCCATAATAAGGTTCTTTCCCCCCAATTGGAATTTCCACAAAACAAAATGGGATTGAGGACAAAACCCACTGTCAATTTTCAATCTTCTCTCACTTTTGGGTAACGTGGGTTTTGTGCTTTGTTTTGTTCCTCCAAAAACCTAAAACCCTTTTGGCTCACGATATTGTTGTCGTAAAAAGTGTGATGCTCTTGAGTAACATGCCGTCAAATTGTCTTGCACACGTGTTGTTAGGGTTTCTTAGCGCTGGAACTGGAAGCTGACCTACAAATGATGTCAATCTGATAAGATTATATTTCTTTCAAGCGGACAGCAAAAATTCTGTTATGCTTTAGTGTATCATTTGCATCAAGATTTTTACACGCTAGATTTGGTCATCTAATGGCCAAAAGTAAAAACCCTAGTAGGTATAAGACACTGCGAAACATACTACAAAATCTCAGTGGATCGATGAGGAACAATCGTACGTACATCATACAATTACAATACACATGGTTTGTGAGTTGAGAGAGTATAATTGCAAAAGAGAACACAAGAGTTAGTGCTGAAGAGGGACCAAAACTCAAATTGGCTTCCGTGATATGGACGGAAGCCTGCATCGTATTTCAGTGCTAGAAAAATATGGTAAAAGTTAACGATCAAATGCATGCATAAAAAGAAAAATGGTGGCCTTCCTCATGCCTGCCTGCCTGCCTGCCTGCCTGGTCAACTAATCTTAGCCTTTTTGCTTATTGGTTTAATCCCGAAAATTAAGTAATAGACTTGTAATTAAGCTAGTCTAATTTGGAGTAGGATCCTCTCCAGATCCTCTTTGTGGGAATTCGGGGACCAATCAATTGTGTCTGTTCGTCGTATATCGTGCGGTTCGAAATTATTTTAAATTTTATATTTAAAATTGAATATAAATAGTACCTAATGAAAACAAACTGCACGATGTACGATGAACAGACACGATTGATTAATCTTCTGGATCCCCTGACAAAGAGAATCCGAAGAGGATCCTTGTCCGTCTAATTTATCCGCCGTATGAAAACAACACGTGCATGATTGTATTTAACTGGTAAGACCTAAACCCATTATCCATCAAGAAGCAAAGAAATAGCCAATCTCACTGAAGAAAAATTCGTTTACCCTAAACAAATAATCCATGGGGACATCAAAAAGAAACTAAATCCTATGAGAAATGACGCGGCACGAAGCCAACGATTATAAGTTTTTGTGAGAAATCCCAAAGGTTGTATTTGATTAATTGATGAAAGATGATTACAATGAAGCATCCATTGGCTTAACTAAACGGATTACAACTCCCTAGGACAACTCAAAGGGCTTAGGTAATTAAAACGAAAGCAAACGACATTAATCGGGTACAAACAAAAAATTCAATTTTTACTACAGAACTTAAAATGCAATTTTGGAAGCCTTAACTGTCTTGGATGGTCAAAATCCATCATATGTCACGAGAAGGGTGTGAGTGTGAACTATGACGTCGTTCCCTTTCCGAAAAAGTGTCATTAACCAAAATCGTAACTCGAACGCTAAGTTTGCAAATTCCCGCTGCGTCACCTTGTCTTCCGTCGGTCCATTTCCTCTTCAAGCCACTCGGCCTTTTGTTCTATATCAAGTACTTCCCAACTTGATCCTCTTGTTCAAATTTAAACATAGCCAGGCTTTGTAAGAGTGAGTTAGTTACACCAATTGCCAACAATCTGCAAAGATTTGGCTATCATTGATATACAAACTCTCCAGAAAAGCTGGTGCCATCCACCGCAAGGAATCCTTCAAGTCAGAATCTCTCCCCGCCGTTGAAGAATTTGTCACAACCTTAGGATGCTCGAGAAGAGGCAATGGTGAAGGGTACCTATTTCTCACATCTTCTGGAAAGATGTGAACCTAAACATTCAACAACAACAACAAAAATTATATCAATCAAACAATATAATGGTACATAAAATTCCTGAAAATTTTTATCATATCAGTAAAAATCCTCTTCTTCAAAGCTGAAGTTGAAGTTGATTGCAGCCCCCAGTAAATTTGGAGCGTTCAAGGAAAAGTTGGACAACAAATCACAAAACACGCGGAGATTTGAACGAGAAATATTAAGAACAAAAGAAAGTAGATTTGGAGTATTGATCTTGGCCTTCACAACGCAACCACCAGCACCATGATCGCATCCACAGAATACTAGTTGTAGATGCTGATTATGTCTACGCCATCGGATGACAACCATTTGCCGGAATCTGAGTAACACCAAACTCTTAAGGGGAGGAAACCCTGAGCTGACGTCTTCAAGCCATTGCCCTAGAAACCATGCATTGGACAACTCCAGATTTCTAAGTGTTTGACAAGAGAAAATATCAATGCCGCGCATCCCAAAGTGAAATCTATCACTAGCTCAATATCTAAATGATTCAATATTTATAGCTTCAACTTTAATCCTGGCGTTTCCAGAGCATGTAAAACGGTATTGAATGGGAAACACCTAATAACCTCCAAGGATTTGGGGCTCGAGCTCGAAAGTTTAGCGTTACTCCGTAGACCACATGAAGTAAGGGACAAACACTCGCTAGGACACCCAGATTAATCTCATGTGATCGTGCAAATGCACGTATTCGAGGGGCATAGTTTTCAAAGATATATATGGAAGACTTGTGGAACTCATGTTCTTGTCCTTTATTCTTACACTCTCCAAAATTTAGGGTGGTTAAAGATTTTGTACTGAAAACTGTCTGCGGCATGGCGTATCTGCCGGTGGCGTTCCATGCTTTGTGATGAGTACAAAGGCTGATGTCTAACTCTTTAACGTTACTCTCAACTAGCAAGTAGCCTTCTACCACAGTGGTGAAGAGGAGAGTTGCCCTTGCACCACGGCGTGGGTCCGAACCCCTCAGCTCCCTAATCTAACAAATCCATCGTTTGACCAAAAAAAAAAAAATTACTCTCAACTGCATGATTCAACCACTTATCTATGATCGCGAAGCCTTGTAAACACTTCATTCGAAGCATAAATTGTCCACGTCATACTTCATCTTTCTCGTAGCGCTTCGGAGACCTTTGCTAGAACCTAGTGAACGATATCCTCTTCTTACAATAGTTACCCAAAGGCTGCTCATCGTAGTCAAAATGTAATAGGGCAACTAAGGACCATGCGCGTGCACGTTGGTTCGAAAGAATGCTGGCCCCAACGGCGGGTTTGGCGGCAAAGGTTTCGAGAATTTGGAAAACAAGGTGGTCAGGTTATTGGGGGGTGTACGTCTCCAAAGGTACCAGACTTTGTTTTTGATCAACATCGTCTCCACTGTGCCTTTTGATCTTGTTTGTGTTTCCGCTGTCGTTGCGGGAGTCTGCGGTTTTTATTTTCGGTCATGATCGACGCTCTTTGAAATGCATCGATACACAGAACAAATCAGTTTATAAGAACAAATCAATTTGGTGTAATGTTTCCAGTTTATTTCTCTAATAACAAGTGGGTTGAAAGATACAGATATCAGAGGCAATTCACCATCATTTTTCACTCATTTAAAAACAAAAGTAACGTGAACAAAACCGAAATACGAAAACCCGAGGAGTTTATCAAATAACAAAATAGTATTCTTCCTCTCCTGATTTCAACAAAAACCTGTTTGCTAACATAATGCTACATAGCAGTGTCGTTGGAAAAACAGACCCAAACAACTAACTCAGTTTAAGCTACTGCAACTGGAACTGGCTCTATGTTGATTGCTGCGGGTGGAACGGGAAGATACTGTTCTTCCTTGGGGGTGTGGATGGTCACCAAATCAGGCAATGGAGTCATCGGTCCCTGCTTGCCCTTGGGATCCCAGTCAAGCATGATCTTCACCTTAATACCAAGCACACCCTGTTGCAGTTGCCAGAGCAAAGACACAATTAACTACACTTGTCGAAAAGAAAATAAGCAAAAATCACAGGATCGCTTCATTTGCAAGTTGCAACAAAAGATCGGTAGGAGAAGAAGCTAACCTGTCTAAGAAGAACGTGCCTCACGGCTGAGTCAATGTACTCATTGACGGGCTGACCAGAGGAAATCATGTACCCATCCTTAAACTTCATTGACTTGGCACGTGCTGCCCTGAGCTTTCCACTAACAATAACCTGCAAAAAGATTAAGATTAGATTTCAGGAGCCAATTTCAACACCCCGACTAAAAAGACTTCATTAATTGTTGAAAAGGACAAAAGTAGACTTAAGGGATACCTCACATCCCTTTGCACCACTCTCCATGACGAATCTCAGCACACCATAGCAAGCCCTATAACATCAAAATATCTCAGTAACAACACAACATGTCATCATATCGTCGGATAATTATATGTAAACGGAAAGTAGTTCAAGAACTCTTAAAGATGTGGGAAAATATCCCAAACTCCAAGCACCTTAACAGTTGCACAAGAAGCCTGACAAACTCCAACAAGGCTTTAATTTGAGCATTGATAAAATCAACCCAATGGTTCACGGGCAACGAGCTACGGGCATAAAGTATAAAAAACAATGCTGATTGCCTTCCGTGTGGTGTAACGTGTGATTCTGAACCATTCAATGATTATAATTTCTCCATCCAATAACCAAAGCCGGGAAAGAACATGAATTTATCAATCCTAAGCTAACAAAATATAGATGGAATGAGCAATTTTCGTCATCCTCAGACACGAGGTCGGCAACAACTACATCATAGCCTACTCGCTGAAAAGATGACTTCTTTCTAACATAATTATATGAATTTTGTATTGAGATAACAGAAATGAAAAATGAATTGTACCTGCGAACAGCGAGGCCTCCCAGGAGCTTGTATCGGAGAGATTCAGCCTGAGCAATGGCACAGAGTCCTCTGTTGTTCACCTTCTCAGCATAGAGCTCGACGCTGTTCTCGGGGAACTTGAATCTCTTCTGAACAATAGATGTCAGCTCCCTAATCCTCCTTCCCTTCTCGCCTATTCCACATATAGGTACACATATAAATACATAAATATTTAAACTAATACGTAATTATCAAAATTAATCTCAGTAAATTCGATTAACAAACAGAATTACATATCAAGAGTGAGATTTACCGAGGACGTTCTGAGTGCGAGTGGCTCGGATGATGATCTCAGTGCGGACAGGGGTGACCCTGACTTCGACGCCGGAGTAGCCGTCCTCCGCCAGCTCTCTGGTCAGAACCTCGTTCAGCTCGGCGAAGAAAACTCCGTCGGCCACAAACTATCAAATCACAGAACAAAACACGACTGATTGATTGTCTGACTGTATAATAATTTGAGATTTGATATGATGCGAAATAGGTAATTAGGGTCCTGAGGCGTTCTAGGGTTAGGGTTTACCTTTCGCTTCTTGCTCATCTGGGTAGCAGCCGCCATGTTGTTGGGTGAAATCGGAGGAGATCAGAGAAACACTGAGCTTCGGCGCTTTCGGCGTTTTCTTGGAAAAAACCCTAATTTGCTTCAGTAGAGGCTTTGATTGGCACATTTTGTTTGGTATATAAAGAGGGGAGGGAAGAGGGTGATCTGACGGTCCATTTCGTGATCATGAACTTAGACGGATGAGATTTAGTTGAGCCCGTTATCTCTTTCTTTTTTTGTTGGTAAAATAGGTGGGCTAAGCCCAACAAGTAGCTCTTTCCTTGTCAAATGTACATAACTAATAATTTTGTTTTATTTTTTAACAAACAATAGCATTAATAGGTTAAATAATTAATATAAATTAGTGTAGAATATTAAAACGCTCGTGGATATTCTATTACTTGTCAAAAAGGAAAAATTAATACTTGAGTTATATCCACCCCTTATGGATAAGGTCGTCTTCTTCAACCATGAGTTCTGAACTCAAAACGCCCCCTCCACTTTTTAAGTGTAACTTAAAAATAGTAATATTACTTCTAATATTTTAAAAAATAAAAATAAAAAAAAGTACCCGAGTTTCATTGCGTACATAAGTGCGATCTCATTGGATAGAGTGAATACGCTCTACTAGTGCACCCGAGTTTCAATTTTCCTTGATGCAGTTTAGATTAATTTAGAACAAAATAACATTTGTAAAAAGAAAAATTACAACTGCATCAAATATCAACACTGCGGTTAAGCGCGGCCACAACAGGCCGGGGAGAAGTATTTCATTTTCTCAGGTGACATGCGAACTCAACTGCGTGCCGACGACATTACAGGTTTATAGGCACCATTCTAACTTCTAAAAGGCACATAGGTGGTGCGTCCGTTCCTAACCTATTTATCATATAATTCGAGGACAAGTTGCTTCACTGCAAGTCGGTTTTTTGTTTCTGTTTACCGAATGGCGAATGCTGTGGTTGATTACGATGGCACGATCAAATGCTAGAAATCTGAATGGTACAAGCAAACTAGGCTCGAATGAGTTATGGGAGTCCGGCAGAGAGGGCATTCTGGCTTTTCGTTGCACCATTCCATAATGCAGCTCCTGCAAATAGAGCATGTTATTAAACCAGAGAGAGAGAGAGAGAGAGAGAGAGAGAGAGAGAGAGAGAGAGAGAGAGAGTAATGAAAATGAAAACTTGACAGTACCAGCAAAATACGTGACCGCAAGGTGTGGCTGTTGGGTATTGGCGATTACTCAAACAGAGTGTGCATTTGCTGGTCCCGCTGGCCTGAGATTAGGAGGCAACAAAATCGAGTAAGTCAACTACATTGTTCAAAAGAGATTTCATGATAGTTACGCTTATGATTTCCAGCTTTCGAACCAACTTAGCAAGTTGTTTTGCAGTATTATTCGCACATACTTCTAACTTCGTATTTTTGTTCATGTTCTCGGTTTATCTTATACAAGAACACGCCTAGGCAACCAAAGGGAAAAATAAGAATTCAACTACCCTCAAAAGAGAGAAAAAGTTCGGAATGTATACCTCTGAAGCTGAAGATTCAGAGACCCAACTTCCCTTGGCAGCATCCGCAGATATCAAATTACCTTCCTCATTTAACACAGGCAAATCTCGACCTATAAACAATCAAGGTTACATATTGCAGTTGTAGCTACAAAGACACTCAATGACATGTATTCTAACAAAAATTGGCTGCATGGTAAACCATGTTTGAAGTTAACATTGTCGCTTTTTATTTCGGCTCAACTTATTCTCTTACCTAAGATATGCAATATTACTTTCACAGGCTGAATCAAGATAATAAATATAAAAAGGTTACGAACATACTGACCTGCAGAAGTTTGGTGTGTACCAAAAGTCTGACGAGCTGAACTTGAAATAGAGGATAAATTGCTGCGCCTCAGTCCTTCAGCAGCTATGATACAAAGCTGAATCAATAGAAATACGCCTAAAATTTGGTATCTGCATGGGATCAATCAAACGAGTCTGAATTTTATGGATAACGAATTGCTATACAATTAAGAAGTGCTCAATCTGTTTTACTTTTATAAATCAAATCAGATGACTGCCGATCCTTTCAATCATCAATGTGAAAACTACGAGCACCAGAATGCTAAGATATGCTCAATCTGTGATATATATAGCTCATAAAAGAGAGCAAGTGCAGGTGAAAGAACTTGCTGATACTAGCAGGAAGGAGTAATCAACAAATGATAAACCTTTTGTGCAAACTTCTTACAGAAGCAACTAAAGGATACTCCATTAGAATATGAACTCCATACCTGGGCCTTTGGTTAGATGGTTTTCCGATGAACACATAACGAATACCTGCTGTTCGTTTTGATATATGGTAGAAAAGGCCTGCAGAGAATCAACGACAGCAAGAAAATCAATTTCTTCCCCAAGTTCACTATTAGAACTTACACTACAATACATGAACCCTCTAAATGCAGGAATCACCTTCAAAGTAAAAGAACATGAGGTTAGCACGAATAACCAATTGCAAAAATTCTCGAGCTATAGGAAGCACCTGGAGGGACCATCATCACAGATATGTTAACTACAAAAGGCATTCAATCCACATTATACGATCACCAATCGAAAGCAGTGACACAGAAAGATAGCCAAGCATGATAGCATAAATTCCACCCAACAATCAACTTATAAATAAAGATAAGGGGTGGATAAGTTTACCGTAGGCCATCGCCGGACTAACGAAATCCATAACCCGTTGAACTTCTCTTTTAATCTTCTCAAAGCTGAAACAGATGGCCCAGATGTAGAGGCAGTTGAAGCATGAATAGTTGAAGAAGATTGAGCATCATTGCTCAATGAAGCACTGTAGCCATAGAGCACTTCGGAATCAGCAAGGGCTATGCCACGGTTAGCAGCTCTAGAGCTGTGTAGGGTGCATTCGAAAACAGACATGAGTACACTCACAGTCACAGCTTGCTAAAACTAACACCAAAATAACATAAGTAGATGATAAAAAGCGGGTGGGGAGTTGGAACCTAATTCGTTCTGCAATATAAGGAAGAGCTGTCTGGTACACAATGAAAAGTGCCCGCCTTGCCGGGGTCGGAGGCAGTCCATAACGTCCTGCAACCTGAAAACACAAGTATCAAGCGTCAACTACACAAGTAACAAAGCAAGGCGCTTATGGCTCAATTGGTTTATAGCATTTATACTTGCAACCGAGGTCGGGTTAGAATCACCTAAGCAACTAATAAAACAAGGTGCGTAGCTCAATCGGTTAAGAGCATTTAGCCGAGCACATGTTCGGATCAACTACACAAGTAAGAAGGAATTTCAAATGTGAGATAATTAGAAGCCAAGTGGATCAACCTGAGTGATGTCGCAATACTCTTCCCCAAGTGTCTGCCGGCCGGACCCTGTTGTCAAAACGTAATAAAGCACTTGCCCAAGAAGCTTCGTCTGCCAAAACCCAAAACAGATAGAGTGAAGAACTCCATGGTTGGAGGCTAACTGTAAATATCCCAATTCCCAGGGGTTAAAGTTCAAAACTTTGAAAAGAACCCAACCTCGTTCTGGTAAGCTACAGAAACTCTCGTACCTAAAACACACAAAACGCCGAATGTTAGTACTGACTAGCTCAATTAAGACCTTGATTGAAATCGTAATAAGCAATTAACGAACCCAAGAGGTGGCGGACGGCGTCGCGGCAAGCGTCGTAGACGAAGGAGGCGTACTGGTCGTCCTTTTCGGCGGCTCTCATGATCTCCGGCTGAGCCGCCGGCGGGAACCGCCGTGCCGCGCCCGGGTCGCTGCTGATGCTGCTTGGACCCGGTTCTCCCCCGCTCGGGCCGGTTTGCTGCCCCGACCCAGGTGCCTCGTTCCAACCCATATGCTACCAGTGTCAGTAAATGCAATCTCAATTCCAAATACGGGGATCGTGAAAGGCTGAGAATTGAATTTGAAGAATGGAAGTGAAACACAGAAAAGACTGGAGAGACTTTGGTTTTCGAGGAGGGGAGAGAGATGAAACAAGAAGAAGATAAACACCAGTGCGACGTCGTATTGACGCAAAATGAGTAGCAAATGTCGTCGGAATTAAAAAGGATCAACGCCGTTGCCGGGGATCGAACCCGGGTCACCCGCGTGACAGGCGGGAATACTTACCACTATACTACAACGACTTGTTTGTTGTAAGAATCATAAAGCTTTTTTATAACCACTAAAGTTAATCGTGATTTATAAATAGCTTATCCTTTTAGTTTCTCTCTATTTTTTTCCAAAGGTCGGGAAAACTCATAGAGACATTTCAGCCTCCCCTGGCCAACATCGTGTGATTCACTAACGCCAATAATTAAACCCAAGATGTGCTGTGTGAAATACGGGTCTATAATTCATCACTAACCACTATACCACTTTGTGGTAGATTTCATTTTTAGTTGGATAGTGATATTCACACTCGACCCAAAAAAGTGTTATTCACATACTCATTGTCACGCCCCGATTCCGACATACATTCAAAATCGACACGTGACATCACTAATTACATTTGTATCTATCATACCCCACCTTCGGGATATGGCAAAGCACAACTTGAGAATCGAATCCCAATAATTTTTTGTATACTTTATGGCTGCATCTAACTTCTTTATTAGATTGCCTACGTACCCTAAACAAGAATCAAGTAATTCGTAGTTCATCCTTCACTACACTCGAACAATCATCACATAAATCACTATATCTCAACATAATACCACACAACAGGCATGCAACATCATGAGGAACATTCGACGAGTATGTGAATAACACTTTTTTGGCCAATTTGGCCAAGAAACCCTCTGAAAGTTCCTCGATCAGCCGAAAACCCTAAAAATGGTGGCCTTCGATCCGTAACCTCCGGTACTCTGTCGCCCCTAAACCTGTTTGGGCTTTATTCCCTGCCTCACTAGGAGTCGAACCATGGTGGTAGTCGATGGTGTCGTTTTCCCAAATGGCAGAATTGTAGCTGTCTACCCCGTACACCTATCGTGAATTTCTTTGTAAAACGGGTACAAAACCTAGTCAATTCTTAGGTGTAAACTGCTGAGGGGATGATGGTGATTAGTTTCCAGGTGATGGCAAACCTTGAATCACCAGAAAAATGCTAGAAATTGCGTTGGGAATCACAATTTGTCGTTAGGTTCGCGAGTCCATCGGTGACCCGACCTGCTGGGCTTCCTCTCCCCCTTCTCTCTTTCCTTCCTTTCTCTCATTTCCCTTCCTCCCATTCGCCCATCATCTTCCCCATTTTCTAATTGGCTGCCTCCTCCATTTCCTCTCTCATTTCTCTTCTTTTCTTTTCATCTCAGTTGTCCACGTGTCACTTCCTTACTGCTCTAGACTTTGCTGGAGCATTCTAGAAATGAAGGTTAAATTTACTAAAAAATGCCCTCAACTTTAAACGTTAATAACTCATTCGTTATATCTCCAAATTACGTTCTGTTTACGCTCACGCGCTCGCATCAACAACAACTATCCAAATACATAAAGATAAATGAAAAAATACATACACATCAAATATGTCCTAAAAAATTCTGTTTAGTCCATTAAGGGCGTTTTCTTCCTTTTACTAAAAAAATTATGCGTCGCAAATGTAAATGCGTTGACATTAATAATACGAAAATACGTAATTTTAAATAGTGAAATCCGGGAACGAGATTTCACACTCATATTTACTTCTTAGACACCCTTGCTAATTTTTTGTTATAGATTTTTTTCTATTCATTCGATTTGACGATCAAAAATTGAGAAAGTATGTGAAAAGTTTCAAAAGAACCACTATCTTTGATTTCTGCTCTCAATGTTGGACGAGCTCTTCGTGGCATACGTATGTAATGTTGATCTCCTGATTCACATTTCTTTTCTATATATGTTGACAGTCTAGACTACTCCAATTTACAAAAATGGTGATGTGCAAGAAGACAGGCACACTGCATATCCAACTAGCCTAAACTCACATTTTTGGATTCAAGATTGCAAATTAACCCCATTAACCTGTGTTCATTGACAAATAAATGGTCTTGGATTTGCAGCAATAACAGATGTGGATCACTATAGCAGGAATAGACTTCAAAGAGGATGTTTATATGATGAGGTCACAACTTGAACTTATTGCCTTATTCTTACAACTAGCCTTTATGCACGCGCTCACACGCGTGCAGAAGATATTTTTTGAATCATTGCGTACTATGCGCGACTTACACGTTTTAATTGTATTTATATGCGTAAATTGATAAAAAGAAAGTCAAATATTTGAACTAAATGAATTATCTTCGATCATGCTAGAAGAAACCCTCATAAATTAATTAAAGCAGCTGAATTCACATAACAAAATCGGTCTTTATAGAATTTACATTAAGATATTTAATATACAATTGATTGAATCACTTATTACTAGCTCATTGTGAGGTTAAGCTCACCCATTCCCCCTTAGTGTAGATAATATCGTTTATTGAAAAAAAAAAAAAAACAATCATTTGACAACTAATTTAATCACATTATTATCCACGTGCGAAATATTTTTTTTATAACCGGCATTACACACTTCTTAAGATGTTTTGAACATATTTAAAATAGAAAAAAATAATATTTAATAAACAATTGATTGAATCACATTATTGCTAGTCCATTGTGAGGCTAAGCCCACCCCTCCCCCTTAAAAAAAAAAAAAAAAAAAACAATCATTTGACAACTAATTTAATCACATTATTATCCGCGTGCGAAAGATTTTTTTTTATAACCAGCATTACATACTTCTTAAGAACGTGTTTAAAATAGAGAAAATAATATTTAATAAACAACTGATTAAATCACATTATTGCTAGCCAATTGTGAGGCTAAGCTCACCCCTCCCCTTTAGTGTAGATAATATCGTTTATTAAAAAAAAAACAATTATTTGACAACTAATTTAATCACATTATTATCCATATGCTAATGACTTTTTTTATAGCTGGCATTACACATCTCTTAAGATATTTTGAATGTGTAAAAAAAAAAAAAACAATCATTTGACAACTAATTTAATCACATTATTATCTGTGTGCGAATGACCTTTTTTATAACAAGAATTACATGCCTCTTAAGATATTTAGAACGTGTTTAAAAATAGAGAAATTGAATCACATTATTGCTAGCATATTGTGAGATACTAATTAAAAAAAACACAAAAAAATATATTATTAAAAAAATACTGTTAAAATGACAAAAATACCCCTACCTTATTTGATGCATTATTTTGGGATGTCTTTGAAATTTTTTATCTTGAGACATTTTTGTCCAAATATTTTTGTTGAAGCTTGGTGACACCAAAATCATTATTCACCTTTTCCATTTTCATTATATATAGATTGAATTGATTTAACCATTTTTTATGAGAACTTTCATAAAAAAGAATTGGAATAAATTTATTTTAATAAAAAAAAATCATGCTATAACTTTATTTAATGAAAAATACTTAAATTTTAATGAAAAACTCTTAAATTTTAATAAAAATGACAACTACAAAAAAACTTAAATTTTAATGAAAAAAACATAACTTTAATATTTAAAAATAAAAAATAAAAAAAATGATGCATTGGTCCGTGCGCCCCTTCACACCAACTTTTTATGAAACTTACTACATGGTTTATGAAATTTAATGGTACTATACTGTTTATAAAACTTAAAACTACATTGTTTATGAAACTTAATGATTGATATTCGTCTCAGATTTTCAAGTTATTTCACCAAAATGCAATAAAATATAAAAAAACATGATAGAAGTCAATGTCTACACCGTTAAAATCATGCATAACTAATAGCTCAATACCATTACTAGAAAAATGGGTGATGAGTCCAACAATGTTGTCAATGATGTTGCCCCACCCCTACCCCAAACCAACCCACACCTAACCGACTCCCTCCCAACCATACCATTCCATATTTGGTTCTGAATAGAACGTAACCCACTTCAATTTAAAATTTTAATTTTAAAGAAATAAAATATGCTTGGATTATGTTAAAGGATTATGCAATTGAAAGATTTTTTTTTTTTGTTTTTTGTTTTTTTTTTCTTTCTCTTGTCCTTATCTTTAAATAAAGTTATAGGATAATTTTTAAGAAATGTTATTGACACTCCAAAAATCTCATTCTGCACTTCTCACAAGTATATTTTTCTTTCCAAATATAAAAAGTTTAGAGTGTAGAATGAAATTTTTGAAATGCCAATAACAATTCCCTAATTTTTAATTAAAACTTAAAATTTTAAAGTCTTTTTTTATTAATTTTTCTTTTCTTTTCCCGATCAAACTCAAGACTTGCTGACTTTTAGTCGTATTACAAAGCCAACAAGTTATAAGAAAGGCTGTCATTGAACCATTTTCTTCAATTAACAAATTGAGTATTATCTTAAATTTAAGCAGGTTTCAGTTGCATAAAAAGCCAAGCTTGACAAGGTAATGAGCCCGGGGTTAGAAGATGAGCTAAACAAGAAGCTGGAACCTTTTAAAGTCAGTTTTATATACCCTTTTATTTTCTTAGTTCAAATGATTTTACTTGAAATTATACCGTTGGAAAAGCACTAGAAAGTGTTTCTGGTAATCTGAAAGCACTTTAAACCAATGCAAAAGCTTTTCGGAATCGGCCCTTCGATGAATAGTGTTTTATGTTTTCCCAAACTATGACCGGGGTTGAACGAAGATTGTATGACCGGAGCCTGGCCAGGAGTGCGTTACCCGGACGGGTACATTTGGCATTATGAGGTTGAGAAAACCAAACCGGCAGAAGGAACTCCGCCGCCAGTGGGGGTCCTAGCTAATCTTTGTCACTGGTTTCGTAATTATAATTTTTCAGTTTAATAAGCTCGAGGTTTTAATTTTTCTTGTTAGAACAGTTGAAATCAGGTTAAACCATTTTAATTTTCTCCCAAGGATAGTCGGAATGATTCCCTTGTTGTCGTAGATTTTTAATTGCTTAGGGTTTCAGTTCAAGTTCAGTGTCCATGCATGTCAAGTCCCTGTAAGGACCTGCACGAAATGGAGACACTAAGGTTGCGGCGTCGAATGATTAGTTTGAGACACTGCAACCAGAACGTACCCGTTTTTGAGTCCTCTTGTCTAGCTTTGGTTGTCCATGAATAAGTGAGAACCGTAGAAATAATCTCTGCGACCACTTCTTATTGCAGGAACCAGGGGATCCAGGGCCAGCGAGACTGGTGGGGTACTTCATATTGGGATGGTTGATATTGTCCATCGCCCTTAATCGATCAAGCCCTTGATCGTTCGAATAAGTTTGTGGCAAACTTGCAGTTCCTGTCAACGTCTTTCTTTGCAGCTTCTTAATTGTGCAGTAGTTGGTAAATATTGCTGCGTTGGACTGTTGGGTTGCGACTGCATTGGGTCCAATTGCATCTTCCTGGGGAAGGAAAGTAAATATCTGACCTGAAAACAGAAAGAAAAACAATTTACTATTAGCGACGCATTACCTTAGTGACGGAATCTGGCATGTAAAATCCCTTTACAATTGGTCTTTGCCAGGCCGAGAAACCGACGCTAAAAACATGAAATTCTTACTATACTCATCAATACACATTCACAAAATATGCAATATAATCTTCCGTTTTTAACATTAAGTCCGGACCAAAAAAATTCTAAGGTAACTGAAAACTCCAAACAGTTTGAAAAAAATACTTACAATAATCCACGTGTAGAAAGCGAAATCCAACTCACTTTGTTCTAATCCCCCTGGTTTTATGGCTTCTGTCTCTGTACCTTTTTTTTCCTCTGAAAGAGAACATACCTTCAACCGGCTTTAACATGTCTGCAAAAGTAAGTTCCTGGATGAGCAAAAAGCATACAAGTCTATGACTACATCAAGAATTCCTGCTCTTGTTAAAACTTTTGTATGCTAGCCTCTCCCTCTATGATCAAGCTTAAAAAGTGAAGCGGTGGGTTAGCAGATATTAACAAATAGTTACTGTCCAAAAGCCGAATCAATCAGATCTGTTTCAACAAGTATAAACAGAGAATTGGCATTAGATCAAGAAGTATCCTACACAAGTCCGAGTTTACTGTGCACTAAATATGTTGCTTTCAACAAGTATAAGCAGGTTTTATCAAGAATGGAGCTAAAACTAACAAAATTAATACAATCTAACTGAAACGAAAGAGTACCATACAGAACATCAAAGTTTAGACATGCGACTTCATCTACACAATTTACCTCAAAAACCAGTCCTGATGTTTTCTAGTGTTTTCTTTTCTGTCTAGAATACTGATAACCTTCTCCACAATCTTCATCCGACCCACTAACCATCTTCCACCTGTCATGACTCCGCTCGTCAACATTACTCTTTCCACTCAGCTTAGAGTGTCTAGAACTGTGACTGCTCACTTTCCGCAACTTCTTATCGCTGGAACCACTTTGATCCATACCAGATCCTGAGTGGCTGCGATATTTCTGACTGTGCCTTTTGGATTCATGCTCGATCCCTTTTCTGTTATCATCTTTGGTATCTCGATGATGACTCCAACTGGAATCACTGCCACACTGCTCTCTTCGATCCTTGTGCTTTCTGGAGCTTCTATGGTGGTGTTTCTTTCTCTCTTCATGGCAACCGGAGCTACTTGGCACATCGTCTAATTCTGAGCTTGATCTTTCCGTGCAATGATACTGCTTTGGAGCTCTACCATCAACCACCAAACGGGAACTCTTCCACTGACCATCAACTGCGAGCCTGTCATCATCTGTGTGATTGTGATGCCGATATTGCCTCTGGGACCCTTTAGTAGAGCCTTCCTCAGAGTAACTTATGCTCTTTTCCCTGTTTATACAAGATCTGTGGTCATGTAGTCTTTCTGTCCCATCATAGTAATGTCTCTCGTTTAAGTCATGGTCTTCGTCATCGTCACAATCATGAGATTGTTCTCTGATGCAGGACAAAACCACTCATTAGTCATTAAAATTCAGGTATATTAACTAACGATAATCAAAACATTATTTCAGATCAAGACAGCATCACCACAGATACATATCGACTCACCTCCTCAAATTCTCATTTGAAACTTTTCTTCTCTTTTCCCGACCATGAAGATCCAAGGATTCCAAATGACTTAAATGGCAGTCTTTGCTAGTCCCTGGAAGAGGAGCAACACCTCTCATCCTCATGTATCCACTGCAAGATGGTTTGGTGTCAAAATCAATATAATGCAATTGATGAAGAATACTTCACATGATTGAGGACCGATGATAATGAATTTCTTAGGTACAGCAATCAACTCAAGATGAAAATAAACATACCCAAAGGAAGGGAATGAGTAACACATTGATGGCATGTATGTAGGAACAGCATAAGGAGCAGGAGGGACCATATTTGCACCAAACGCCGTCATCGCATGATTTCCATATGGATTTCTAAAGGGCATGGCACAAGGTGAGGGAGCCCCATTCCAGTATGGTGGTACATAACCTGGCATGGCTCCTGGAAATATTGCATTTCCTGAAATCCACAAATTAGTAAGCATCACAGGCGACAGTTCATGGCAACTACAAATTAATGTGTGCAACTCCTATTTCATACCTGCATGAAGCATAGGATGTGGGCTTGAAGCAACTGGACAGTCTCTTATGAAATGGTCTGTAGAACCACACATGTAACAGGTACGTTTCCCCTGATCCCATAAAGACAGGTATAGACATTCAAACAATGCACCCCAAAAATTAAAAAATTTAAGTCACACAACCAAAAATAGCATTTGTTGTCTTAGCACTTGGAACCTAAAATAAGTTCCCAGACAATGAGTTACTAGAAGTTTGTTCCAACAAAAAAAAAATGAGAATTTTCACATGTCTACTTTCACAATGGATACCTTTCTGTGCTTTCCATTCTCCAAGAAGCTCTTGTCACAACCTGGTAAATAGGAAGATTGTCAGAAAAGGTGATACATGCCAAAACAAGAATCGGATAAAGTTCCAGCAATGTCACAAAGGACCAAGTTAAATACTACCTTCTGAAGAAACCCAAGGTGGCCTTTTTTTCATGATTGCAGGTTTAACATCTTTTTTGAAAGGAGGGTTAAAAGCAGATTCTGCAAAGAAATGATTAGATCCTGTCCCTGTTTCAGGAGAATGAGGCACCTCTGGCTCTCTGTGTAAAAAATTATTGCCGTGAGACACATCTTTGGCTTGAATTCCAGATTCTCCATCTGTTTTTACATTAATAACTAGTTAAACACAGGAGCAGGGTTAAGGTAGGTCAGAATAAACATATGCGGAACTCCTACCTGGAGCATATTGGTAAAAATCATTATCTGGAGCAGTGATTAAATTTTGGGATTCTAGGAAATGCTCAATTGCTTGCCTAAGAGAAACATTCGGGAGCAAATCTTCTACTCTGCATTTGGTCGAAAAACACTTCGGACATCTGGACTTTTCTCGCAACACTTGAGAAATGCCTGGACACAAAAATGTGCATAAGTTATCACATTCAGATTACAGCCCAGAATTACTAATACCTTACACACAACCTCTCACAAAAACTATCCTAATACCTAGCACCCCATCTCTCACAAAAACTACCCAACAGTAAACCATCAGATGGAAACCTATCAGACCATCGACTTACATTTCTCACAAAAACTATGCTGGCAGCATGGTATCATCACAGCCTCCTTGAAATATGCATTGCATAGGGAGCATTTCAGCTCTGTTGACAAATTAGCATGCCCTGTATCTAGGGGATTCGCACTGCCCACCCTTCATTTACAAGAGATTAAACAAGTCAGACCATTGAGACCGAAGAACCAGAAAAACAATAAGACGATACAACAAATGCATATCTTACCTTTCCACATTCATGTCATCTTCTTCAGGCTTTGATTTTGTAGGCACTATGATTTGTTCAACTCCACTGTGTGCATGACCTATATAAAAAAATTCAGAATGGTAAGCCTAACCCATGAAAAGACTAATACAAGTAACAAACATAGGCCTAACCCCTGAAGTTTGTAATCAAAGCACATACCTCCTGGAATAGCATCACTAATGCCACTTGCTTCAAGTTTCAGGCATCCTCTCACAGCGGGCTCCGAATACCTAATACAAATTGAAATAATGCACAGCATAAATACCAAATATTTACCGAACATTCATATATCCGAAGTATTAAAATAAACAATCATACACCATTAGGGAATAAATATTAAAAGAACCAATCAAACCTTGTGATGCAGTTATCGCTATTTGGTTGATAATCATAGATGAAGTTATCCTTCTCTGGATCCAAATCAGAACTGAAAACGGTTTCTTTAGGAATGGGATACAAGTCAACCCCAAAGTCATCAAAGTCAACAGTCTCAGCATTCTGCGAAACACCAAAGACATAAGAGAAATTAAATAAACAATCAGGCAAACATATAACAAGAGCTTCAAATGTGACTAAGAACCATCCAAATGCAAGTCTGCAACTTCAAATGCGAGCGCAACGTTTAAGAAACAAACCGCTGCAACAAGTGATTTATCGTCGACAGAGTCCTTGCTATGAAGATTCTGGCACGAGTTGAAGTGAGGCCTGTAAAAAGATCATAAAAATAAATCGAAATTCCGAGACAATAAACAAACTTTCATCGCCAATTAATATGCATCCCAATAAAAAACGTGCATGGATTTATAAAGCAAATAGATAGATTTCTTACAGATCCACATGTACTGATCCTGCAGGAACTCTCTTAATTATCACGCTTGAACCACACGGAATTTGAATATTCTCGTCGTTGTACTCTGCAATCAATCCGAAACCGAAAGGCATATGAAAACGTAGCTAACAATATGCATAAACCCTAATTCCAACTCCATTCAACCAAACACAAAAACTGTAATTCTAACGCGTTTCCGAACCAAACGGACAAAAACACAATTCCAAAATACTTCATGTCCAATTGTAACGTCTCAATCGATATTTTCTCGGCAACCAAACACAAAACAAGAAACTGAAAGCTAAAAACGCTATTGATAAAGATAAAGGGCGGGAGAGAGCTGACCTTGACCGGTTACGGCGTCAGAGAAGAGGAGATCGGAGTCTTGGCAGAGGTTGAGGTTCTTGTGGCGAATTACCTTGGATTTGAGATCACGAACGGAGATGGAGGCTCGGCCGTCGATGGCGACCGCGTCGAAGTTGACGGAGCTTCTGAATTTTAACTGGATCGCCATGGCGGAGAAGTCTTGTCGGTGGAGTCAAAGGCTTCGGATCATCAAGTTGAAAAGTGGAGAGAGAGAGAGAGAGAGAACGAGGGTTGTATACGGGATTTTGTATGAAAGTTTCAATTGCTTCGTGCGAAGGTTATGATTTGGGCTTACATTTTGTTTAACAAAAAAGCCCAAAACAAAACGTTAACCTAAAGAAACAAGTGAAGGTCCAAAGCAAATTTTCGTTAGAAAAAGTTTCTAAAAATTTGATTTGAAGTTTACAAAACTGAAAAACGTTAAAAGAAACAAAAATGTTAATCTTACCATCTAGTTGTACCATCATTTTTACTCTCTCTAATGAAGATGGAATCCACATGCGTTAGTGAACCCTACGTCTATTAAAAAGATGGTACAGGTAAATGGTAAGTGTAATGCTACTTTAAAAGAAATTATTCGACGAGAGTCTGCATTGATTAGCCATGGCTGACGGTGACTTCTTCAGTGCCACTTTTTCATATGCATCACTTTTTACCATATGTGACATTTTCCAGCCTTTTAGCAGTAGACTGGTTTTTTTTTTTTTTTTTGTCAAAAAAATAAAATAAAATAAAATAGAAATGAGAGAGAGATAGGGAAAGAAAAGTGAGAGAGAAGGCGGCTGGAGGAAAGAAAATTTAAAACAGAGAGAATCCTACTCCCGTGATTAATTTTCGAGCTAAATTGGCCATATATCCGGCTAACAATCAGCCTATGTCTGGCGGGCCTCGGTCATTTAGAAGCCCGCTTATGCTTGGAAGGCCTACAATTTTAAATGGGTAAGACCTGAATTTTGAGTCGGCCCACATTGTTATTCATATGGGTCTGTAATTTTCACTGAAGCCCAAAACGAAATGTCCCAAATTTGACCTAGTTCATTTCTTCACCCTTTTCCCTTGCTTGCTAGATAGAAGATAGAAACAAACAGACCCTTTTTTCTTGTAAAACAAGACATTGACAAATGGAAACAACCGAAGACATGACCAAGTGTACGAATAAATCTTTGTCATTGTTATTCAAACTTGATGAACACATTCGAACTATATAATTTCTGTTATTGTACCCTTGGTTGTGGACAATAATGAGTGAGTTTTAGTAGATTCATTAACCTTGTGTATTTCGTATCGTCGCTATATACAAAAAAACTAGTATGTCTTTGAATATTTATATTGACCTATTTATCTATTAATTCTTCAAATTTGTATAGAATTACCTATTTCTCTCCTAAACATTAATTTTAGTTGATTACCCACCTTAACTTTTTATAAAAAGGCAATTCTACCTTCCCAACCACCCCCCCCCTCCCAAAACTTCAGCATTGGATTTTTTGAAAATTTTCATCTAATTTTGCATCAATCTTGGTCATGCAGATAATACATGGCAACTGTATGAGACCAAAAGGGTACTTTTCTTTTGGTAAATTGGGCGCAGAGCCAAACTTTGTAGTTACTAATTGGACTCCCATAACTAATTCAAACAAAAAGTGCAAGGACTCAACTAATGGAAGAGAATTTTTGGCCGAAAAAAAAAAAAAAAAAAAAAAAAACTAGCGAAAGAGAATAAGAAAAAGAAAAAACAATTTGTTGTCCACGTTAAGGACAAAATTACTTTATTGCCTTCGAACATTTGCATGTGACCAAAATTGATAGAAAATTGTATTGGAAATCTTCAAAATCTAACGTTGGGGGCTCAAGAGGGAGGTTGGCTAACTATAAAAGTTCATGGAAATAATTGGCTAAATTAAAATTTTGGGAGAAAGTTAGCAACTCCTTACAAGTTTGGAGGAATCGACAAATACCTCTGTATATATTTTATAATTGGCATGAAATCAATCAAGATTTTCTGAGATCCAAGAACGTAAATTTTGAGCTTTTCGACTCTCTCACAAGCATTTATTTGCTCGTGATCCTACAGACGGTTCTCGACCTTGATTTGAGAAACCAGGTTGAAAATAAAAATCCTAGGACAACCAAAAAAGACAGCCTTGGCCATGGGGAAGACTAGACGTTCAGTGGTCGGCTCTCAGCTTCTCAAACTTTTGAACAGTTGGAAAACATTGTGATACGCGAGTGTTCAAGTTTCCTTTTCATCATACATAGTAAAGAATCTCTTATGAACCAAACAAATCACAAAAGCACAATTATTATTATACTCCATTCCAAAATGGCGAAGGAAAGTGTGACGGAGATGTGAGTCGACAGCAATTGTACGAGAAAATCATCGTATATTAAACTTGAAAGCTACTGCATATTAAATGTCCCTTGTTTGGATCTGCAATGACTGCAACTTAACATGCATGGTGATCGGTGAGAATATTATTCGTGCTTTTGTCTTACATACATGGTGGTGTTTCACGTGGTACGTCGGCGTGCATGTCCAAATCCCAGGTTGAATTGCAGCAAAGTCCAATTTGGCCAGAAAACTATAGATTGAATCACGTAATTGGCATTTTAGGTTAATAGTGATGTTCATCTCAACAATCAAATATCAGGCCGACCTTGAGTTTTAAGAGTCATGTACAGAAGGTAGTAAATAGGTTAGTGTATAAAATTCTTATTACAAAGCTAATTTATATGTCTACGTTGTATTAATAAGGAATCTAAATGGAGTATTATTGCTTGAGTTATGGTTCAAGTCAACAAACATCATGAAAACAAAATACATAAAAACAAAATTAGATCAAAGTCGGAACCAAACTAAAAACATAAAACTGATTTCTCGTATGCATATGGAGGCCATATTTCACTCTTTCACATGCAGAACTTCGAAAATTTCTCCAAGTTGAAGCTTTTTTGCCACAAACCAAGTTGATCCATATGTACATGATCTGAGCATTTTAAAGGAAGAGATCCCCATTTTTTTAAATGGGGATTATTTGTGCCACCCCCCCTGGGGACATTGAATTTTAACGATCCGAACAATCTATGTTTCAAGTTGCACCTTATAAATCATCTTTGAAAAATATTAGCCAAATTAGAAATATTTGAGGCATCTAATTGAGTTCAAAGAAATTAACGAACACTACAGTCTAAGAAACATTGAAATTTATCGTGACTAAATGGACAAATGATTTTAGGATTGAATTGAATTTTTGCAAGGATGATCTATGAAGCAAGACTTACAAAATAGATGGTTTAAATCGTTAAAGTTCGATGTGGAGTGATCCCTCCCAATACAGAGCCTGTGCAGATGATATCATCTTTTAGGCCTTGTACAAAGACACCTATTGCACATGCCCAAAACCACCACTTTCAAACACTATATTAATCATAATTCTAGTCAAGACGAGACTCAAGTAAATCCATCTGTATTAGAGAATCAATATAATATAAATTAATACCTTATTTTTTTTTGTGAAGTTACTGTTAGTTGCTAATTATTGTTGTTAATTGAGCTCTGATAAACGTGTGATTGTAAGTTAATGTTTTTGTATTGGATTCACGTTGATGAAAAATATCATATGTTGACATACAAGATTATGTTATTTTGTGTTATTAACTATAACCTTATAAATTTTAACAATTATAATCTAACATTGCATTCATTGTCGTTCAGACGTTGAGTCATGAGTGTTAGCACCACAGTGTAGGTACATCATTAAACATAAAGAAAAATTAATAAAAATGTTTAAAAACTTTGAGTTTTAATGATAAGGACAAAATAAAGGGTAAAATGAATAGTACTAGGATTGACTTTTTAGTGTAAAAATGTAGTTTTTCATTAAGGTGAATAGTACCATGAGCTTTTTGTTAAAACTTCCTAAACATAAAGGTTTTGGAGCCCAAAAGTGAATTACAATAATGGTAATTCCATACCGTCCACTAATAATAACTTCTTGTTGGAAAGTATTAGTATATTATGATTATTTGAGTTTGCTTGTTAGTTAGTATATGGGCCTAGCCTATCCGAATTAGGGCTTCTAGGTTTTGCTATCTATAATCTTGTTTGTTCTGCACTCTAATCATATTCAACTCTTCTATATTCTTCTGGATGTTCATGGTGTAACAATCAACATTATAGTATAATATTTGTTTTTACTCTTTATCTCCATTATTATATAAAGTTGAATACTGCATTTGACGATTGCCATATAATTTAATTAAAGCAAATATAGTACCAGTACCATTCATAAGTTGATGCTTAAGTTAATGAGGACCCTTGATTTTATTTTATTTTATTGCCATTGTGTCCCTTTGATTAGAACATTACCAAATTATTTTGTATACTTCTGTTAATGAAAATAATGTTTGCGGCTCTGCAGCCTGCTGGACTTTATAGTCCTTCTCGAAGCTTAATTTGGTTGGAAGTTGAAGGGGAAAAGGGTTCTACCTCATTTAGAGAAACTATATGTATTGTGTGTGTGTGTGTATATATATTACTGAAAGTGGGAATTCAGTGAGAGGTCAATTTAAGGTGTAAGCTCATCAATCATCATCATGTTTGCAGAAATCATATATAACTACAATTTAAATTGATATTTTGAGGACTTGTGTGTTGAGAGTATGAATTTCACATCGAGAAAAGAAATATCGAACCTTACATGTGCTTATAAGTAATTAAGCTTTTCTCATATTGCTTTTTGGTTTTATAGTGGAAACTCAACTTTCTTCATGGTATCAGAGCAAGTTGTCCCTTATATGAAAAGCCTAGTGGCCGCACGTGCTCCACTTCACCTGATTTGTATTGTCTACGTGCTAGGCTTGAAAATTTGCCATACATGAAGAGCTTGAGAGTATGAGGCCTATACTTGGGAAAGAAGGACCTTCCGTGTGCTTATAAACAATATTGTCAATTGATTTTATGGTGAAACTTTAACTTTATTTATTGTGAAAATGAAGTTTCAAGGAACTTAATATTATAACTACAAATTAAATTGGTATTTGGCTATTTTCTTTTCTTTATTTGGATGCTGCCTTTGGCTTTTTTTATTTTGATGGGATACATGAATGGAAGGTGGAAGGTGGAAAGAGAAAAACTAATTAATCCCTGGAGTCTTAAAATTCTGATGCAATAAAAATCAAGGGAGTCTCAAGGAAATGGGGATAAAACTTGGGAATCAGTTAATCAC